ATTAAGTCAGATAAATGAAGACAAACAGCATATGATTTCAATTACATGTAGATTCTAAAAAACAAAATAAATGAACAAGCAAAACAGAAACAAACTTAAAGACACAGAGAACATACTGATGGTTGCCAGATGGGAGGGGACTGAGGGAATGGGTGAAAAGGTGAAGAGATTAAAAAGTACAAATTGTCTATTATAAAAACAGTAATTGGTATGTCAAGTACAGCATAGGATTATAGTTAATAATCCTATCTAATAAAAAAGTAATATGCAACTTAACCATCACTCCGCTACACCCACCAGCCACGCCCACCAGCCAATCAGATCGAGCATGCAAATTAACCCCAACCAAGATTGCTGTGGACATAGAGAACAGGAGGGAGGCTTGAATTTCCCTGGCAATGGAGGAAGCCAAGCTTTCCGCACACCTTGGCTGGCTGAGGCCTCCACTTAAGGGTACAAAATTTCAATTATAGGAGGTAAATAAATTCCAAGAGAAATGGCGGCAGACACTGAGCTGGAAGAGCAGGAGGCTAGGGTTGCCCCAGGTGATGGAGGAAGCAAAGCTTTTCACACACCCTGGCCAGCCCAGGCCTTCACTCTAGGCTACAAAGTTTCAATTGTTGAAGATATATAAATTCCAACCGAAATGGCTGCCGCCATGGGGCGAGCAGGAGGCTTGGCTCCGCTCCAGGCTACAAAGTTTCAATCGTAGAAGATAAATAAATTCTAGATACCAAGGCCCCATTTGGGTCGCCGGGGGTGGGGTGGGGGGGGGCTTGACTGCCTACAAACCACCACAGGCCCCTCACTCAGGCCATCCCATGCCCCAGTGGAATCTCCACCCTGATCTGGCACACCCTTCAGGGCAAATCAGCCGGCCCCTACCCATGCAGCAGGCCTCTATCCTATCTAGTAAAAGAATAATATGCAGCTTGACCATTGCTCCAACACACAATATGGCTGCCCCCATGTGGATACAAGATGGCGACCACAAGATAGTCAGCAGGGGAGGGCAGTTGAGAGGGACCAGGCCTGCAAGGGAGGGCAGTGGAGGCAATCAACCCTGCAGGGGAGGACAACTAGGGGTGACCAGGCCGGCAGAGGAGGGAAATTAGGGCAAACAGGCTGGCAGGGGAGCAGCTAGGCATCAATCAGGCTGGCATGAAAGTGGTTAGGAGGTGATCAAACTGGCAGGCAGAAGCGGTTAGGGGCAATCAGAAAGGCAGGCATACGAGCAGTTGGAGCCAGCAATCCTGGATTGTGAGAGGGATGTCCGACTGCCCGTTTAGGCCAGATCCCACTGGACATCCCTCAAGGGGTCCCAGACATCCCTCAAGGGGTTCCAAATTGGAGAGGGTTCAGGCTGGGCTGAGGGACACCCCCCCAACCCGTGCATGAATTTCGTGCACCAGGCCTCTAGTATTATAATAATTGTGTATGGTTTCTGGCAGGAACTAGACTTATCAGGGGATCACTGTGAGTTATATAAATGTTTCATGATTATGTAATACACTTGCAACTAGTAAAATATTGGATGCCAACTTTAATTTAAATTTTTAAAAAGTATTTAGTCATTTTTAAAAAGAAACGTCAACAAGTCCACAGAATTCATTATATCAAACAGCATGCTTTCTTTCTTTCTTTCTTCTGCAAATGAAGTTGCAGAGTTCCTAAAGAAAGAATTGTACACATCCCATATTCTCAGCAGGAAATGATAATTATCATATAATTTAATGGCTCATTTTAGGGTGAGAAACTCTATATCCAAATTATCAAGAAAGCTAATGTTCCTTATTAAAGTTGGTTTTGGCTACTTCTTCCATAATTGGCAGGTTCTCAATAAATGTTTGTCGAACTTATTTAAGACTAGAGCCCCAGAGCACAAAACCTGTGTCTGGAGGTGAGAGGGTTGCCCTTCAGCCCAGCCTGTGCCTTCTCACAGTCCAGGAGCCCCATGATTGATCGCCCCCAATAGGTAGGTCCTGCCCACCTGCCACAGCCCACTGGTTGGTTGCCTGGGGCCTCCCTCTTTGGGGCGATCATGGGGTGATGGCCAGGCCCCAACCAATCACATCACACCCGCCTTGGCTGGTCTGGCGCCAGTGGGTGTCATAGCATGGTCGTCCTGAGGGTCGTTCTGCTATTAGGTCGTTAGGCCAATTTGCATATTACACTTTTATTATTATAGATATTGGTCCGATTAAGAGGAATTTGTGATCAGGTCAGTATAAGACTTTGCCTTAATTTATACATCTGAGGGGTGCAAAAACTGGATCCTGATGAAAACCTATGATTTGTTTCAAACATGGTTTTTATAGAGCACTAGTTTGTTCTAAAAATTCAAAGTCTCCATTTTTACATGAAAAGTTTGGAATTATTTATTCAGAAAAATTGGGATTTGCTGGTCATTTTAATTTTGTATAAAGTTTTAGAAACTCTCTAAGAAAGTATAACTCGAGATGTTGGGTGAATGCACAGTCTCCAAACATGAAAGATACAAGATATGACAGTAAAAACAAACAAAAAAATGACATAGAGTTTAAATAAATAAAGGTTTTCTGGGAAGCTATTCAGTGCCAGGCAATTTATTATCCCACATGACCCCTTCTAATTCTATGTAAATAGGCATTACACCAAGTATTGGTGTGCAGAAACAAGAGGTAAGAAGAGGAATTACTGCTTAGTTACACAGCAATTGAGTAGCAGAGATTACTCTTAAATCCATTGCATGTAATGGCCACTTAGACTCATTAATTCCTCAATAGGTAGCTCTGCAGGCAGGCAGGGGTACATGCATGTATTTTGGCTAAAATACTACTATACCTCTATCTAAAGTTAATAAGGTAGATGTTGCAATAAAAAGGCATAGTTTTTAGTCCTTTAACTTGTCAGGATTTAATGTTATAATATTTTTGCAGTTAAAAAAGCAGAAGCATCTTATATGTTATATATAGACGAGATAAATGTGCCAAATATTGCTGTAAATTCAATTTTTCAATCACAAATTAGAAATATAAATAAACTAATAATATTTTGTTATGGTCTTCCATTAGTTAAATATGCTATTGAAAGGTAAAGTTATATACCAGCAGAATGAGACATACTCTAGCTATTTATAACTTTCGTAAGGGCATAAAAGAACTTTTTTTTTTTTTTTTGCATGAATTTGTCTCAAGGCACATACCTAGGTTGTAGTTCAGCATATGAGAGGCAACCTGCTGATGTTTCTCTCTCCTTCTCTCCCTCTCTCTCTTCTGTCACTCTCTCCTCTTGTCAATAAACATATTCTTCAGTGAGGATTTTACAAAAGAAAAAAGTCAAATTTATTTTGAGTTTTACTTTTGATAAATGAAAAATATTACAACTTAAAGCAGGTGGAAATTGTGTCTGTGCTAAAACACTCTTTATAGAAATGAGTGGCTGCTAATTACGTAGTGAACGGCACTCTAAGAAGCACAGAAAGAAGTGTGTATGTAGCTTTACCAGTGAAATTTAAAAAAAAACAAAAAACAAAAAAACACACCAAGAGCTCCAAAAGAAGAGCAGAGAAAGAAAGAGAGGGAGGGAGGTTAGAATAGAACATCGATTTTCAACTGAATAGGCTGCAACAATTTTTAAAACATGACTATTTAGTCAGGGACACTGCCCTGTTTTCCCTTATTTGTTAAATAAATAAATAAATAAATAAATAAATAAATAAATAAATAAATAAATAAATAAATGACAATAGCCAACACAACAATATCTTTCCAGTGTAAATGAATCAAAATTATACCTATTTTTTTTAAATCATATTTTTGGTGTGCCGCAGAATTGTAGTAATTCGTTTATAAGTGCCATGAGATTTTAAAAAGTTGAAAAATGCTGGAATAGAGGAAAGAAGGTAAAAAAGAAGAAGGAGGGAAAATGGGACAAAGGGAATGGAAAGAGAGAACAGATGGGATGGAGGGAGAGCAGGGAGAACAATCAGAAAATCAGCTGCACATGGATAGCAAAATAAAGATACTGAGAAAAATGACCAAGATGGGAATGTGGGCCCTGGTCAGTGTGGCTCAGTTGGATAGAGCATCGTCCCCTGCACCAAAGGGTCACAGATTCGATTCCCATTCAGGGCATATACCCAGGTTGTGGGTTCAATCCCCGGGTGGGGCTCATATGGGAAGCACCCCATTGATGTTTCTCATCGATGGTTTGTTGTTTTTTCTTTCTCTTTCTCTCTCCATACAATCAATGAAAAACATAAACTTGGAGAGAATTTTAAAAAAGAAATCATAAAAAATTTAAAACAGATGAGAAAGTGCCTAAAGCCAAAAAGAAGAAAACAATTTACAAGTCTCAAAATGAAGAAAGACTAAGACTTGCAACTCTCTCAAAACTGGGAAACTACAACTAATTGACAGTCCTGAATGTTGGGACCAACATAGGCAGAGTGATTATATTTTCTGTAGCCTCCACAAATTAGATTTGTTGAAAATGAACAAAATGTTTTTAGACCCACAAAAATAAATATATATATATATATATATATATATATATATATATATATATATATCTTTCTATCTGTTCATGAGATGGAATTTTGTGTTTCTTACTAGGGAGAAAATTAGTCCTAAGGCATATACAAACACCAAAGCCAGGATTAAAAAATAGATGACTCATTAATAGGAGCTCATAGGTTTAACTAAGAGACTGGCTAAAGATTAACAGAAGTAGGTATCTGGTACAATACTGTATAATAATTTCTCAGATAATTTTACTTCCCCAGGCTGCCTTGGCTTCAAAACATTAACAAGTTCACTACCTAACCTTGCCAAGCTGAAGTCCTACTTGGCAAAGTACTTGCCAAGCCAAAGCACTTGCCAAGCCAAAGTACTTAAATCCTACTTTTCTTCTAAGTTAATAATCAATTCAGAAAGAAGAATAACTGAAAAACCAAAGTGGATAGCCATGTTTGGCACAACTAAATCTGTAATTAGTTGGAAAAAAAATATTACACTTACTCATACCACTGTTTATTGTGTTTTCGGTAAAGCAACGTATCCAAGGCAACAGCATTGACATCCAAAGCTCCTGGGGAAGGCCACTGGTTGGTGAGGTGGGCAGTTAACTCTTGTCTTGATCTTAAATCATTATTCTTTAGCACAGTCCTGTGAATATTAAGAGGGTGAGTGCTTTTGTCTTCATTGTTCTGCAATGGCAGAGGAACCTGCCATTAATGGTATCAATTTAGGCCCCCAAAATTCATCTTTTTAAAATGATATATTAATAGACTGTGAACAAAACTACAGGAAGCCTAGATGGGGCTAGGACTGTTTTGTTTCCTACAATATGTGTTTTTCATTCTTTCTTGACTAGCTACAACAAATTCCCTGTGACATTCAAACTTCCTACTGTTTCCACAGAGATATTACTAGAAGACTAAAGGATGCAAACTGCATTTAACATCTTAACTAAAAAACAATAGTGATATCTTAAAGCAACAGGTTATCAGATGCCAGTTAAAATATGAAGGAAAATAAAAATCCCATGTGTATGATTTTCTAGCTTCAAAATTCACAATCTATGTAAGTAATTTAACTCGGTAAACAAAAAGAATTTAATGGGTTGAAAATAAAATTAATGCAGAAAATTTTTTTTAAAAAATTCATGTGGTTCCGGTAATGGTTTTTGATAGAAGTGACTATTAATGAATTGTCATGAAAATAATTAAATCAATGACAACTGCATAGAACAGCATAATCCACTGGAAATATTTCAGCTACAGAAGAAAAACTATTATTACAACCCATGGTTTCCTTTCATATTTGTAGAACTGTTCCTTGTTCATGAGAACTTGAAAAAGACTAGCTTTCTGCCAAAATTTCAACTTCACAAACCAGCTGGTCATTGTCACAGACTAATTCCACTGTGGTTAAAGATAATTTGAAGGCATAATTATGTTTGCAAAGTTCTTACTCTACCTCGAACAGGCCTTAGAATACCACTTAGGCCACCTGCATTCTCCAACAGTAGTCCACAGTCTACCATACCAAGGTTCTGAGCGATCAGTTCAGACACAGAAGTAGTTTGTGCTTGCCACTAATTTTCAGAGACAATTACAGTCCTGTGTGGGTGGCAGTCAGTGGTGTGCTGGCAAGACAGTCCTGCGAGAAAACCAGCCTGCACCATAACTCTGGCTGTCGATACGCTTCCAATGGAATAAGCCCACTTTGATGTCTCCAACAGGCTGCACACATTTCTGATTTTTACAGGATACCTGTGTGCATTTAAACATATTGGCTCTGCTATGTCCACAAAGAAATATTATGTGACATCAACACTGGCTTCTCTCTCAGAATGGAAGACTACAAGTTAAATAAACAGAAGTCAGAATTGCTTTGCTACTCAGGGTCATTTTGATTCCGTACAAATTTTAGGATTTTTTTTTTTCTGTTTCTGTGAAAAATGCCACTAGGATTTTGATATAGATTTCACTGAATTTGCACATCGCTTTATATAGTATGGAGATTTTAACAGTATTAATTCTTTCAATCCATGAACACAGCATGCCTATGTTCTTAATCTCCATCAATGTTTTCAGTTAAGGATCAAAGAGTTGTTTTATTTTTCAAAGAAACAAATAACTCTGTATTAAACCATCCGTGGCATGACAGAAATGTTCATGGATTTCTGAATGTAATTTATTTTTTGAATCCAGCTAAACCCTGAAAAGTTCCTATATCTTCTAAATATGTAACTTGTACTATATATAAGACAGTGATTAATCATCACACTTTATTTTCCCAGATTTGTAATTATTCTTCACATGATTATTGTTAGCTTATCTTAACCAATTATGATGCAATACAACACAACACAATAAGACTCTGGGTTGTTCATAGACACCAAAGGCTTCACTGTGAATCTTTTGTACCTTCTCAGGAAGAAATCTGTTTATCAATGTTTTTAAAGAAAAAACAAGTTTATGCCGAAACTGGTTTGGCTCAGTGGATAGAGCATCAGCCTGCAGACTGAAAGGTCCCGGGTTCGATTCCGGTCAAGGGTATGTACCTTGGCTGTGGGCACATTTCCAGTGGGGAGTGTGCAAGAGGCAGCTTTCTCATCGATATTTCTAACTCTCTATCCCTCTCTCTTCCTCTCTGTAAAAAATCAATAAAATAATTATTTTTAAAAAGAGGGGGAAAAAGAAAAAACAAGTTTAGTAAAAATGGAGTTGGTTACTATCTCTTTTTAAAACAGCATTCTACATCCAAGTTGTCAAATAATTTGCTAAGTTTCAGTGTGAGATTTTGTCACATGAATTGAGCCATCAAGAAGGGTATATTTACACCATCCTCTACTAATGTGGAATACTTTATAGGCATCTAAATTTTTCATAGAGTATTTTTTAAAGTATTTCAATGTTACCGGATAAACTATTGCTTCTAATAAAACTTCAGTTAATATTTTATTATACTCATCTTCCTCATAAGACATTTACACCAATGTTTCTGTATATGCTCCTCCCTTTTCCTAGAATAACATTCTCTCTCTTCCTAGATTACAAAGCTCTATTTTTAAATCAACCTTTAGTAATGCTTTTCCTGGACCACTACTCCTGTGCTACTTCCGTAATGTGTATATACCTTTATTACCATACAAATATGCATGTCCCGATACACTCATCACATCACTTAGATGTCAGTTGTTTAGTTGACTCTGAGGGCAGGAACTAGAACAAAATTATTTTTGTACTAGAGGCGTGGTGCATGAAATTTGTATACAGGGGGGGAGAAAGGGGTGTCCCTCAGCTTGGCCTGCACTCTCTCCAATCTGGAACCCCTCAGACATCTCTCTTACAATCCTGGACCACTGGCTCCTAACCACTCACCTGCCTGCCTGCCTGATTGCCCCTAACCACTCTCCCCTAATGGCCTGATTGCTCCTAACCACCTGCCTTGGCCTCTGCCACTGTGGCTTTGTCTGGAAGACGTAAGGTCTAATTAGCATATTACCCTTTTATTGGTATAGATTCTTAGTATCAAGCCCAGCATTAAGAACAGAAGAAGAGCTCAATAAATGTCAGTAGAATGAATCTAAAGGACAGCACAGAATTTTAAAAAGCACCTTGAGATAATCAAATATGCAAGGGAAGATAGCAAATACAGAATATACTCTACTTCAATACTACTGAAAATTAAATTCCAATGCAACTTTCTTACTTAAGCTAACAAAACATCGAAGTAGCTTTAAGGTTTAGGGAGTGACTGAATTGCTGTTAAGAGGGTAATAAATATCACTTTGCTTTGGTAAACATCACAACAAACTTTTTAGTCTAGTGGTTCTCTAGTCAAATAACTGGGAAAGCATTAAAAAAGACTGATGCCAAGCATCATCTCACATCAACGAAAGGAGTTTCTTTGATGGTGGGACCCAGGGAATGGTATTTTTTAATGAATCTCATATTCATTTTTTAGCTCTTGTGAAATAACACTACACATCTCTCTGGTTATTCCTTCTTGATCTCTTTCAGCAAAGGTCCCTCTCTCCACTTAGTTCTTAAATGTTGGTGGTCCCTTCACTTATATTCTCAAATCACTCAAACAGATTACCTGTAAATATACAGCACCCTGGCTTCAGAATTGAGATCCTACATTCTTTTGAGCCCTAAATAATTTCATCCATTACTTTAAAAGAGAGAGAAAAAGATACCAATGTCAAAGGTACAAAGATACCCTTTCCATCCTTCAAAGATTAGGTTCTCATCTACTGTTACAAGTTCTTTGAAAAGATCTGGAATCCTGTACTCTATATTTTTATAGCAATGCTTAACCAATTCAAAATTTTATTTGTTTTGTTTAATTATCTTGTGTCTCCAAACTTGAGGGTTATCCTCTCTCCTTTACTTTGCTTCTTTCTTATGTACCTCAGAGGCTGTACTGATGCTCACAAATAAGATTATACTTTCGGCTGCTGCACATATGTATATAGGACACACAACCCGTGGCATTTAAAACTTACTATCTGTGATCCCAAATATTCCCAAGCAACACCAAAGGTCCATAACATTATTTTTATATTTTGATAAGGGAATACATTTGAAGATCATGGCTATGACATAAGTTTTGAGAGTGGGTCTTGCAAAATGCCTAGCACCATTGCAGCAAACCTTGGTTATTTTCCACTTATCATTTATTGCCTCTTGTGCTGTCGTTCTTAGGATGTATTCCAATGTCACTGAGAAAATCTTCGGCTATAATGTTCAGGAAAATAAAGAATTTATTATGTCATGACTATACTAATACAGATGTTTATGCTAATGAACAGAAGGGCAAGGTACTGAAGTCAAAGAAAGGGAAAACCACCAAGTAAATAAGGCGTTGAATACATTCCATCCCTAACGCTCTTAGAAACACAAATTGACAGAATTCCCTACCTGTACCTTCTCTTACTACTTTGGAAGAGAAACAAATGTTATTTGCTTACTGTCGGTCTTCACCCAAAGTAAGCTCTGTAAGGGCAGGACTATGTTGTATTTATTCTTGAGTCACATGGAATAGCGCTCGGCTCTTCGTACATTCTCAGTAGGTATTTGCCAAGTGAATGAGCAAATGTCAGAGAAGTTACAAAAGCAATCTAGTACCGGGAGAAGTGATGAGAATGTACCTTCTTCGTTCATTTAAAGTTGTCCAGAACTGGAAAATGCTTATATAGCTTGTGAATACCCTAACTTCTTCATAATGTTAATATAAAAAGTCCTTATTTGTGTGCTTTTGTTTCTGTTAATTTTAGACAAAGCCATGGGGTAAACATTAACTTTATATTATTGTATACGTATTTCCCTTCAAATAAAACATTTTTGAAAGAAGCTTAAAAAGGATCCAGGTAGCCAAAATCTAGAAATTATTTACCTATTTTTTTTCCTGGCTCAAATATTAAACCCAAATCTAACTAAGTCTCTTAGAACAGCAGTAGTTTTCAACCCTAGTTGCACTTTAGAACTTAACTTTATAGCATCATTTGAAAAGAAACATTAATGAGGCCCCAGCCAGTCTGGCTCAGTGGATTGAGCATTGGCCTGCAGACTGGAGTCCTGGGTTCGATTCCAGTCAAGGGCATATGCCCGAGTTGCAGGCTGGATCCCCAACAGGGACACGCAGGAGGCAGCCAGTTAATGATTCTTTCTCATCATTGATGTTTCTATCTCTTTCTGAAATCAATTATATATATATATATATATATATATATATATATATATATATATATATATATATATAAACATTAATGAGAATGTAGAACTTAAAAAACAAATGGGTCATGTCAGAAGGATACAAGAATTAATATAATGAATTAGACAAATGTGGGACAATTTGAGTATCGAAAAAAAATGTAAGTGATAGAAACACGTTGAATATAGGCATTTCTTCTATAATACAGAAACGAAACACTACAGTGTTCTGCAATAACACACTGACAATAAGTAGCCTGTGGGGAGAATAGGGTTGGGAGCTGACAACTCAAAACCTATTTGACTTTTTACTAAGAACACTAAGAGGAACATTAATAATCCTAATAGAAATTCAACCCAAATAAAATATTTATTAAATTCCTATTAAATATTGCAATAACTTTAACAAAAACAATAACAAAGGAAGACCATTTGATAAAAGAGGGTATAAGGAAGGGTTGAGGCTTGCCATGAAGGCAAAAACAAAATGCACACGCACTTCCAAGTTGTAGTTCAACTTAACCAGAGGAATGCAAGGTGAAAGATTATGTACAGGGAGAGAACGCCATCTTTTGGTTACTTGCAGTAATTGCCTAAATTAGTATGTTTGCATTGGCTGTTGTTACTTGTAGAGAAACTTAACTTCCAGATAACTATGAATCAGGTAATTTATTTGTTATGCTGACATCATCATCTTATTAATGAATCTTGAATGAGCTAATTTACATTATAGAAGATATAATATATAAAAAGTTCATAAAATTCTCAAAAATAAAAGAGAGAAAGCGAAACGGAATCTTCATCTCTTTGGTAACTAAGAAGGGTATTGGAATTTTATTCAGAAAATTAATAATTTCATATCAGAACTGTAATGATAACCACCAAAAAGCCCCTAACTAATTAGGGGAAGCCCCTTTTGTAGGTGATTCTGGCCAATAATCATGGGAGCAGTAACAATTATGAAATTGTCATTTTATAATTCCTAATTAATCAATCTCTCCAGCAGTTTCTTGAGTTTAGAAGTTGAAGATATACCTTTTCCATTATACAGCTACAATCTCAGGATGAGTATAAAGTGGTGTCTTAAAAATTCCTTTGCACAAAAACTGTTACAAGAATACTGAACAGAATAAGACCCATTTCTTTTAGAATGTACACAATTCACTTATCAGAATCATCTTTAAGTACAGAATACTTAAAGATGGGTATTTTTGCAGTGTTGTGATTGTTAGAGGGAAAGGTGGGTAGGGGTTGGTTGGAGGTGGGCAAAGAGGGAAGAGAACATCTGTAATAGTGGCAACATTAAAAATAAAGTAAAAAAAAACTTATAAAACTCAACTCCAAAATAAAAACCAAAAACAACTGAATTAAAAAATAGGCAAAGGACCAGAATACACATTTCTCCAAAGATGACATACAGATGGCCAAGAGACATATGAAAAGATTCTCAATGTCACTAATCATCTGAGAAATGCAAATTAAAATCACAGCAAGATATCACCTCACACCTGTCAATAAATCAAAAAATAAATGTTGGTGAGGATGTGGAAAAAAGGGAACCCTTTCGTATGGTTGATGGGAATGCAGATTGGTGCAGCCACTGTGGAAAGCAGTATGGAGTTTTCTCAAAAAATTAAAAACTAACTGATTTGGCTCAATGGATAGAGCATTGGCCTGCAGACTGAAAGGTCCCCGGTTTGATTCTGGTCAAGGGCATATACCTTGGTTGCAGGCACATCCCCAGTAGGAGGTGTGCAGGAGGCAGCTGATCAATGTTTCTCTCTCATCGATGTTTCTAACTCTCTGTCCCTCTCCCTTCCTCTCTGTAAAAAAATCAATAAAAAAAAAATTTTTTAATGGAACTGCCTTGTGGCACAGATATTCCATTTCTGGGAATTTATACAAAGAAACTGGAAACACTAAAGCAAAACAATATATGCAGTCCTATGTTCATTGCAGCATCCTATATAATAAAAGCCTAATGTGCAAATTGATTGAATGGGGGAACAACCTGTTGCTATAATGCACACTGATCACCAGGGGCAGATGCTCAACACAGAAACTGCCCCTGGTGATCAGTGCACTCCCACAGGGGGAGCCAGAAGCCGGGTTCATGGCTGGCGAGCATAGCGGCAGTAAGGAGTGGGGATCCCGGACTGTGAGAGCCCCTGACTGCATGGATGTCTGACTGCCGGCTTAGGCCCTATCCCCTAAGTCGGCAGTCAGACATCCCCCGATGGGTCCCGGACTGTGAGTGTGCAGGCCTGGCTGAGGAGACCCCCACCCCAGTGCATGAATCTTGTGCACCGGGCCTCTAGTTATTTATAATAGCCAAGACCTGGAAACAGCCCAAAAGACCACCAATGAATGAGTGGATAAAAAAACCTGTGGAACATTTATAGAATAGAATACTACTTGCTGTAAAAAAGAAGGAAATCTTACCCTTTGTGACAGCATGGATGGACCTGGAGAGTATTATGCTAGATGAAGTAATCCATTCAGGGAAAGACAAGCACCAATTGATTTCACTCATGTGTGGAATCTAATGAACAAAATGAACTAACAAGCAAAATAGAGACGGATTCATAGACATAAAGCAGGTTGACAGCTGTTGAAAGAGCAAGGGGAAGAAGGATTGGGGGCTGGGTAGGGGTCGTAGAGGTAATGAGGAAAAAAAGAGAGAAAAAATTCATGGACATGGATGACAGTGTAGTGACTGCTGGGGTGGGTGGTAGGGGAGAGAGAAGATGGAGGAAGATATAGGGAGATAAATGATGTACAGATGATGTATTATGGAATTGTATATCTGAAATCTGTGGAATTTTGTTAACCAGTGTCACCCCAATAAATTCAATAAACATGGGGAAAAGGAAAATACTTTGCTGATTAAATAAAAACTAATTTCATAATAATTCTTATATTAAAACAATTTAGACAAACTACCAAGATTATTTGTAAAAGAATGATTAAGTCACCTTAATCTTTTCATTGCAAAGAAATAACCAGAAGTCTCTATCGTGTGGCTTCAGTAGCAAGGGGCTACAGAAGGTGTTACTCTGTCCCTGAATGATACTCCACCAGACAATTAGAAAAAAATATAAGAAACTTTCAAATACTAGAAAAATATAAGAAACAATATATGGACATAATTATTTTCATCAACATACAAATTCCTAGATAACATAAATTTTTGCAAATTACATGTTAATTACAAAAGGAACAACAGTAACTATACAGAAGAGAAAAACATCTTAACCTAATGATTAAAAATTTATAGCACTACTAAAAGGTCAATAACAGACATCATGTATCTCTGGATGTGATATTTGAGGACACATCACTTAGATTGTAATCGAGACACAAATGGATAAGCTCATTCTAATCAGAGGGAAGAACAAACAAACTAAAATCGAGGGACATTTTTATAAAAATTACTACCCTGTATTCTTCAGAAAATCCAATCTCTTATAAGACAGAACATTGAAAAACTACTCTAAGTTAAAAGTGACTGAAGAGACTAACAACCAAATTCAAAACATGATCCAGGATCAGATCCTTTCCAGAAAAACAAAAGTTGCAATAAGGGACATTATTTGGACACTTTAAAACACATTGAAGTATTAAGAGGTAAAGAGATATGATGTATGCAACCTCTCAGGTGGTTTAAAAAATAATACATTGGTCTGTGTATATATATAGGGAGAAGGAGAGAATGATGACAAATGTGACAAAATATTGAAAACTGGCAAATCTAGGCCTAGCTGAGCCAAACCAGCTAGGCCTAGATTTGCCTGGGTTGCAGGCTCAATCCCCATTAGGATGCGTGCAGGAGGCAGCCAATCAATGATTCTCTCTCATCATAGATGTTTCTATCTCTTTCTACATCTCCCTTCCTCTCCGAAATAAAAATATTTTTTTTAAAAGAAAAGAAAACTGGTGAATCTAGGAAAAGCCATATGGAAATTGTACTATCCTTGCAACTTTTCCAAAAGCCTAAAATTATTTCAAGGAAAATTTTTAAAATCATCCTTTAAGATTAAGTAAATATTAATATGAGATTTTCACTATAAGCAATGAATTGACAAAATCAAGTTTTGACAAAACAGTATAATTAGTACAAGTGCTTTGGATAGTAACAAGTTAAGGAGCTTGTCCTAGACTGGAGATCAATACACAGCTTCTTCCATTAAAGGAAGTCTGGCTAGAGGAAAAAGTTAGCTATACTGAACTGTGCTTAGTAATATTCTGGCAACAAGAAGTTTATGCTGTGGCACTGCTCTTTTAGCAGCACTGGTCTTATGTTCCATATTGCTACAACCACTCAATCAATAACTAAATAAGTGCTTTCAAAATTAAACATATGCTTTTTAAAGAATCCAACCAAATTGTGTTAGTTAAGTCTGGGTAGCACAACTGAAGGTAATTTTTGTTTTCTTCCTATATTTTGTAATGTTTCTACAATGAGCATGGATTACTTTTATAATAAGAAAAACAAAAAATAAACTTTCAAAAATGAGAAATGAAAAGGAACATAATAGCAGGCGATCTGATTTTTTAGAATTTGAATCTTATGTTAAAACATGACATTTAGTTATGATCATATACTGCTAAATTTTTTTCCCCAAAAGGATCTCACTTACAACTGATCTTGCAGCTCCACAATTATATATTCTAATTGTTCTTTTTCCAATTTATGGGCCAGATCAGAATCTTCAATCCTTTGTAGTAGTATCTTATTCTGGGAGACAGATTCAGACAGCTGGTTCTCTCGAAGTCTTAAGAGTTCTTCAAGATAAGCCTGGAAATACAGATCAGCAAGATATAGCCAACTACAAAATTCGAATATATTTTGAAGACAAATGCTCAATAGCTTAAATGTTAGTCCTATCTATATTGTAATAAAACGTTTTTATAGTATCACTGATAAAACAGTAAAACTAATTTTTTAATTTAGTACAAAAATTTAACATATGTTCATTATTTAAAGCTCTTCTTTAAGGTTCATTAAAATGCATTTGTAATTTAAGGTAAAACTTAGTTAAAACATTTTCAGTCTTCTGTCAGTTAGTTTTTACCCATTTACAATTTTTTTGTCCTTCTGCTCTGTTTTCTGAAAGACTTCATTGAATTTATCCTTCAAACCCTTATACTGAATTTTTTAATTCATAAAATCTTAGTTTTAATTTCCAACAATTCTATCATGTCTGATGGTGCCCTTCTCATGACATCCTACTTTTTAGCTACAATGTGCTTACAAATTCCTCTCAGGATATTAATTAGAATATTTTTTTCTTAAAGCATTCTTCTATCCCACTGGGAGCGCGTTTGGCAGAGACTGTCCAAAGGCAACAGGGAGCGTGGGACTAAAGGCTGCTGACACTGACTGGCTGGTACCTTCTGCTCCAGGGTGAGCTGGTACTTCTGCTTGACCCTCTTACACTTGTTGAACCACGTGTTCTCGTCCATGATGTAAGGAGGCCCCACGTTCTCGGGGGAGCTGCTCTCACTGCCACTGCTGCCCAGCGTCCTCAGCTCCTCCTCGTCGCTGCTGATGCTGTCAGAGCTGGGAGGTTGGGTGTTTAAAAAGAAGGTTAATATTTTAAGAATATTAAAAGAAGGTTAATATCTTAAGGTTTTTAAGAATACTTCTGTATATTTAACACTAAACATACCATTATAATCAATGATAATACAAAGACTTTTGCTTCTTGAAATGCCTTATTTTTATATTTTTTCATTTTTCTGCAATGAATATATATTATTTCATGCAGTAATTTGAGGAGGGACAGACTCTGAAGGTTTCTTAAAATTAAGAAACTAATAAGAGGTGTTTTTTTTTTAATGTGTTAAATGCATGTATATTTGGGTAGGAGCAATTACACTTTTAAAATATCGGGTCAATTAGGATAGTTTAAATCTTTCTAAAATGAAAAACTATGGTCAGAAATAATAACTGGTTAGTGACTAGGTTGAAGTGGCATTTCCTTTTTCGTTTTAGTGCCTGTTACATAGCAAGTTGGTAGGAATCCTTTAGTACATAAAGGAAAGAAAGCTATCTGTACGTTTTTGGATTTGTGCATCAAAGAAAGGAAATTGCATAAAAATCGGGGGGGGGGGGGGAGCAGTGGTTAAACAGTTGAGGACACAGAGTAAAATCGCTAAATTCATTTTGAAGGCACCAATTGAGAAGATTCCATAATTATATCTTTAAAAAAGCCTTGTAATGATTACTATAGCTTTTATGTAAGAGAGGCAGATTAGTATTTAACTTTATATCTTAATTTAAGTCACTTCCTAAATCACAAAAATAGCCTTTCCATCTTCATGTTGATGACCAACCTCCTATCTCCAGCTGTGATTTTGCTCTTTAATTTCAGACTTGTGGCCCACTTTGCATAAACTACCTGTGTGACTGTGGACAAGTTTAACCTTTCTATATTTCCATTTTCTTGTTTCTCACTGCCTTTTGGGGATCAATGAGTTAACATAAGTTCTTAGAACAATGCCTTATATAAAATAAACATTCAATAAATATTACTACTATCATTTTCTAATATTATTTTTAACTATTCATTACATTCACAAAAGGTACTATAACTCAACATATCCCAAAACAGTACAATATTATGCCTATTCAAAGCATCTTATTGCTGTACTTTTTAGGCTCTACTGTACTGGAATTATTCCTTTTCCTCAGGAATACACTAATTTAAGTTAGAAAGCTTGGTACCACAATACTCTATGTCTCCTTCTCCCTCAGCATACAAAATACCTTCTCACTCCTAGCTCTGAAATAATAGTGACTTCTCTCACTAAATTATCATCTTGGAGATAAGAAATGTGTTATTTTTCAGAAGTTCATGAAGTTTCTATACTCTAACATCTATGTTTCTTTCTTACATTAGGTACGCCATAAATAACGGTTTCGTGGTTGTGTATGTACACATTATATTATTTTCACTTTCTTTCTCTCTCCCTTACAGCTCTGGCTTAATCAGAACATTTTAGAAGTATGTAAAAATCATCATTCTATTCAGTAAATCAATAAGTGAAGGCAGACCTTCAGAAAAATCTATGGATTTAATTTGATTAAATTTCAATGCTGATGAGATTGTGGAAAATCCATAACTCTCACATAAGACTTGTAATTGGTACAACTCTTTTTATAAAAGCAGACTTTAAAAGAGCCATAAAATTTTTGTTGTATTTACTTGAATAACTGTAAATTCAAAAGATAAATAAAAATAAAATTGATTTGCACAAAAATGTTTCTTTTCTTTATAATGAAGATAAAATGGAAAACAGTCTAAATAACTAATTACAAAATTAAAAAGTAAAAAATTAAAAAGTAAAATCTCAATGGATGATTATAGAGCAATTAGATTATCATAATTACAGCAAAAAAACATGTACTTTTTAAAAAAAACTACATATATGCTGGGATTACAATTATATAGTAAATGCATACCTATATAAATACTAAAAATGCAACTATAGTTTATATTTATGAATGATTTCTAACATGAAATAAATGTTTTATAAAAAGTAATTTTAATCAGATGAATATATTGTGCAATAAGGCATTTAACAATAAATTTGGATTTCAAGAACATATTTCTAAATGTCAAATACCTTTGGGTAAACTTCAAATATGGTGTGTAGTCTATTACAGCAGGAAAGCTGCCATCCAGTCCCTCTCCCTTGAGGCAGAAGCTAAGACAACAGACAATAAATATTCCATATTCATATACAAAATTTTAAATCAAAGTTGAGTGTCATAATCTGCTAGAGACATTTATTTCATCAAAGTGTAGGTAATTTTTTGTTTGTAATTTAAATGTTACTTGTTTACAAATAAATATATCAATAAGATGTTTTACCTTCAATCTCAATGACAAAGAACTGTACAAGTTAATACTCTGTTACATAAAATATATCCCACAAAATGGATATACACTTTGCCAGCTGATTCTATTACAATTTGGAAATGAAATGTATTTTAATAAATACTGACTTTATAACTACTCAAAGTGCGTATACATTTTTGGGGGATACTTTGTATATGGAGGAATCTTTTCAAACATTATTTCATACTGTCTTGGTCTTTATTAAACCTTTTATGATGTCACTAGAGAAGTTTTAAATGAAGATTTGTTCATACAAGTTCTCAGGTAACACTCACTATTCCTAAAAAGATCTGAATAATTAGAAAACGAGGGTTTTTGCCTTTGAACATTGGGGAATGTGTGGCCCAGGCCCTGAGAATGGGACGGTCCAGGTACACACTGGCCTAGACTGCTCTCCGTGAGTAAAAAACAGAGAAACATGACTGGGTAACAACAGAAAATTGTAATGAAACATTGGAAATCAGCAGTTTTGTACAGGCAGCTTTGGGAGACATCATTTATTAAAGTCTGCCTGAAACTGGGACAAAACTGAACAAACAAGATGAATTTGGCACTTAGGAAATTGTGAAAGCTGCTAGTGACTCTATTCTCCTCTATCAGGAGAAGTGACTGAAATTAATGAAGCTCTTGCAGAAAATCCAGGACTTGTCAGCACATCTCGTCACGAAGATGGTTGGCTGACCCAGATGCCACTGAGTAACCCTGCAGAACTGGGTGAACTAATGAGTGAAGAAGCATATGAGAAATACATAAAATCTATTGAGGAGTGAAAATGGAGATGCCCCTCTCCGTAAATAAAGTAGTATAAAACAATTTTAATTAAAAAAAAAAAATAAAAGAAAATAAAAAGTCTGGCCAGTGTTCAGTGGTTGAATGTTGACTTCATCCCCAGTAGGGGGCATGAAGGAGGCAGCCAACTGATGCTTCTCTCTCATTAATGTTTTTATTTCTTTATTTCTCTCCCTTCCTATCTATCTAAAGTCAATAAAAACAGTTTTTAAATGAGGTTTTTCTAAACTATTTGAATAAGTGAAATGATTTGTATCTTAGACCTAAAAAAAAAAATCATCTAATGTCCATTCAATGTTTTTTTAAGGCCATAGCAACAAGAAAACGGTTAAGTAAAGCCAGTAAAAAACAAAAAACTCTAGATATCCTGGTTCCCCAATCCAATAATCTTTGTTTTGTATAATGGTATATACAGCTGGTTTTTGTTTTATTTTGTTTTTTAAAAGGTGTTTTGTTTTAAGATTACTATTGTTAGATTGAGAGGTATACAGATTGGCAGTTAAAAAATAGTCATGGGAATGTAAAGTACAGCATAGGAAATATAGTCAGTAATCTATATATATGTAACAGCCTAAGCGACAGTTATCACTGGTTGATCGAATGACAGGTTGACCAGTCGCTATGATGTGCACTGACCATCGGGGGGAGGTGCTCAATGTAGGAGCTGACCCCTGGTGGTCAGTGTGCTCTCACAGCCAACCTCCCATGGCTGGCCCACCTCCCGCAGTCCCTCCCCTTGGGGTTGGCACCAATTAGCCCCAATCAAGAAGCAAGAAAGCCCCAATCAGGCCCAATCACCAGTCAGGCTGAGGGACCCCCCTTGTGCATGAATTCATGCACCAGGTCTCTAGTATTATAATAACTGTGCATGGTGCCAGTTGGGTCCTAGAAATATCAGGGGCAACACTTGGTAAAGTATATGATTATCTAAACACTATGCTATATACTTGAAATGAATAGCAAAATAATATTGAATACAAACTAATGAAAAATATTTTTAATTAAAAAATTACATAAAAATAAAACATTTAAAATTTTACAAGAAAACAAAGTTTACTATTATTAAAAGGAAACAATATACCTTCTAGCAAGATAAAGAAATATTTAAAAGATGTAGGTTAATCCTTCAAAAGAAAAAAATTTATCTATGAAGTCCTACCTCCTGGTTTCTTTGGGAAGTTTGACTGTGAAAATACTTGTTCTAATATATTAATATCAGGGGTATGTGTTGTTTTTAGATTTAAATAAAGAGAATTAATTTAGCTACATTTTATATGGGTTTCCCTTCATTTACAGAAACATTACTAATGTATCTTTAAGATATTTGTTTCCAGCTGATTATATAGTATCAATGGGTTCCAATAAATCAACAATTTATTCTTCTCCCAGGTTGTTTTTAAAATAAAAAATAAAATTGTAAAGGATTTAGACAGAGCCATCAGCATGCCATGTAAAAAGTTGACATCCTTAGAGTGATCATAAGACAACCTTCATATTACACCCATCATGTTTATCCTAAACAATTTAGCTAATTAACCTAAAACTACTTGATTAAAGAAAATGACAAATATTTTGAAAAGTAAGTGATTTACTAGAAAAAGGTAACCTCAGTGAAAATGGGCAACATTATTTTGCAATTAAAGACCTAAAAGTGTATTTTAATTTAAACTTATTTTAATAATATTCTTGTATTTTAAGTGATATATTTAAATAAAAATATAATATTTCTTTCATTGTTATGTTTGAGTTCTTGCTATAGAAGAACCTTTTACTATCAGTATAATGTAAAATCTTAGATGAGTTAAAGAAATGCAAAAAGATTGTAAAATCTAAAAAGAAATTACAATGTCCCTTTTTTTGCTTGTAATCTTATTTTGGAATCAATTCATCTTGTTGATAATTAAAGTAAATATTAACAATATGTTTTATATTCTAGATACTAACACAAGAAACATAAGACACCCAAGATATCCTGTCCAGGTCTTCTTTATCTCAATACATGAAATAATAAAAATCTTTCTAGCTTTGAACCTACTTTTAATGTTAATTTCTAGAATTTGAGACAATCTTTTCCCTGAGAGCAAACCGATTTAGAAAAATGTTGTCATTTAAAAGGGAACAACACGAATCAAATATCAGTATCCAAGTATGTGCTTTTCTTAGAAAATTTAAAGGAAAAAAAATCATAAGTAGAAACCATATAAGGTAGCATACTTTAAAACTAAATACATTTATTGAGGATTAAGTACCTGAAATCAATAGCATTGAGCCCAAGCAGCATGCCAGCAAGCATATTTGCTTCCTCACCCAAGACAATTGCTCCATCTTCATAAAATCTTCTGAAAGATGAAATGGATGAATACATAAATGTTAAAAACAGGCAAGTTTTGACTAGAGAAATCAGAGCCCAAGGTAAACTAGAAAGAACTACATTGTATTTAGTTTGTCAAAATAAAAACATAATTGGGACACCCAACTCTTACAGATATTTAGGAGGGGGGAAAAACCCATCACCATAACAACAAAAATCATTCTAAGTGTTTCCACTTCTCTTAAAAAGAAACCCCAAGGTGACTCTTTAAATGCGCCTAGACTGCCTAGCATTCTTCCCAGTAGTGAAGAAATATAAATGTAATCTGAACGGTGGCACATTCACAATCATTTATACTAGTTTTTTTTCAAAACCGTGTAGACTATTGTTCTATACACAAGACAAACACAAACATACATTATGTTTTCCTGTAATTCCAAAGGTTATTACCTAAATTAAGAAATAGGAAGATGTGATCATTAGTAATTTCTTCCAACCTTTAACACTGGAATACTACCGTATTTTCCGGTGTATAAGACGACCCTCCTAATTTTACAGTTAAAACATAGGTTTAGGCCTATATTCGCTGTGTAAGACTACCCCCCACTTCCAAGGCAACACCAGTTCTTTTTTAATAGACTGCCTCTCTGACTCTGGCCAATCTGAGCAGGCTTTTTTTCATTTAAGAAGTCGTCTTATACGCCGGAAAATACAGTAATTGGGCAGATGGGTTACTAAAGTGACTGTATATGAAATACAAAATTTGACAAAATTTGAATATCAATATTTTTGCTAATTCTTACAAATCCTTCTGTTTTGACTAATGTTAGTTTTTAAAGTACAATTTTATTTTAAAGTAAATATTTTTTTTAAAAGTCATAATATAGGCTTTAGGTATTTTTTCCACAAAATAATGTAAGAAAACTGAGAAAATACTACACAAAAACTAATTCATGTTCAGTAACCAGGGATCCTTAAATTGTTTTACCTATTTATATTACACATAAACAATAAACACTTAGATATAACACCCCAACCATTTAGTAAAAGATATGTGTCTTGTTTTTTCCTGTATTTATGAGTTTTTAAAGGCTGGAAATTATTTTAGTATGTTCATAATTTCACCATCAATTTTGAATAGTTCATGTCTTAACAAATACTTTTACAAACACATCATTTGATACCTGGAAAAAAAAAAAAAAGCCCATGAAGTAAATGCAAAAGGAATTATCATTAGTTTCAAATTCGCCATCAATAAAAGTAAAAAGTTAAAACCATTTCCCAAGCTCATGTTGATAAACTTCTCAAGGAGAAAAACAACAACAACAACAACAATTATTTTGACTCTAAGTTCTATATACTTTCTATTAAATATATCCTATTTCTTATAAAACAAAATTATAGAGAATTTAACTTCTGTTATGGTTTATAAGGAATTGAAAATGAATAAGAAGTAAAAGGAAAACAAGAGACAACTCTTCACCCTCTAACAAATGTAAGTCTGCAAACAAATATGGTAGGAAGACTAGCTTGGAATAGGTGTTTGGTATTTCCTTGAAAATATGGGAATTGTTATTATTGACTTATATAAAAGAGGAATGACCAAAACTTGTAGCCTACCAAAGTTAGTAAAGAAAATGGAAGGAATTTCTACATATTCAATTGAGGAGTTCCACTAAAAGGTAAAGAAATTTAGATAAATCTACATATATGAGATTTTATCCCACCACAATGGCTAAATTAGCTGTTGACAGAATATTTTATTGAGTCTAGGAAGAACTGTTATTCCAAACATTCTAGATCAACAAATTCTACAGGACATATGCTGTAGAAAATAATTCCAGGATTTTTTTTAATACTGGGAATAACCCATTATTCCTAGTATTTCCCTATGTAAGGAAAGGTCTACCATTTCTCCATCATGAGCCCACCATGTTTAAAAGTACATTTTAAGAAACAGATCACAACTATTCTTGCTTGCTTCCTAATGTCAGCATTGTATTAGGGACTGTTTAAGAATACCAAAAACAATCTCAAACTATCTGGTTTTAGAGATTTTTTTTAAAGTCTAAAGCTCTTTTATTTGTGTATAAAATATTGTTATAATGAGGGGTTTTTTTTTACCTCTAGGTTTTTAAAAAATATATTTTATTGATTTTTTTTACAGAGAGGAAGGAAGAGGGATAGAGAGTCAGAAACATCAATGAGAGAGAAACATTTATCAGCTGCCTCCAGCACACCTCCTACTGGGGATGTGCCCCAAACTGGCACACACCCTTGACGGGAATCAGCTCTGGGACCCCTGAGGCCACAGGCCGACACTCCATCTCTGAGGCAAACCGGTTACAGCTTTGCCCCTAGTGTTAGTAATGATTTTTTAAACCAATGCTTGCTATATGTGAAATCAATAATTTCACTAAAATAAAACCTTATGTGAAACAGACTTGATTTAAATCAACAGTCTCACTGCAATAGATGGGAGGGGATAACAAATGGAAGAGGAGGAGTTCGATAAGAGAATTGTCCATTGAATGCTGATCTTTTTCATTATTAGTTCTGGTTAAGAAAAAAACAACAACAAACTTGTGGTGATGGCCAAAGGGCAGGGGGATTAAGGTTGGGCAGAGGCATGCGAAGGAATGGGGGGTTAGGAGGGATAGAAACATCTGTAATAGTGTCAACAATAAAAACAAAGAAAAAAAGCTCACTCAGAAAATACACCTTGAAGTTTAACATCTTAAAAATAACTTAATTCAGTATTTAAGAGAATACTGAACTATATGAAAATATCCTATTTTTATCATTTAATCAAAGACAAGCCACCCATGTGTATTAAGGAGGCACAAGCTATTAGGAAAAGCTAACTTTTTATACCCTTAATCAAACCAACTTATCAAAATATGATTCCTGCTATCAGCACTTTAAAAGAATTCAAAAGATTATAACCTTTCAACCTCTTCCTTTTATCTCATAGAAAAATTGGAGCATTAATAAAGTTTTGCTTATATAACCAAGGTTATGTAACAAATGAACCAAAATAAAATCTAAGGTGACTAATCCAAAATGATAAAGTATACACTAAAAATTCCCTTTCTTTTGTTAAAAATATTTTTTTATTCTAAAGAAAACATTTTTATATGAAGGATCTAACCAAAACAGTGTACTGAATTGCAAAAACATAAATATTGAAAGTACCAAGGTGGAAAAGATATATGACTTCCATTTAAAGTTTTACATATAAGGGGGGGGAGGGGCAGACTAGAGAGGAATCAATGGGGGGGGGACATCTATAATACTTTCAATAAAGATTTTTTTTTAAAGAATAGATTTTGTATTTTAGAAGCAAATGAAAATCGTAAGGTACTATTTAGCCTGACCATAAGCTGGAAGAAAAGCCTCTATTTTTTTTCATTTAGGTATACTGTTTTCCAATTACTTTTAAGTTGTCTAGAAAAACATTAAAAGTAGTTAAAATAATACCCTAATAAAAATAATACTTTTCTCTTGTCACAAATAACTTAACTTTAATGAAAATATGTCTCTTTAGTGCTATCCTTAGTGTTCATTCTGTTAAACTATTTTAAGGCCTTTCAGGTACTTCAATAGAAAATATCCTTCAGGCAGGATTCAAAGTGAACAACCAGTATAAACTCCATTGATACTGCACAATATCGTGCTTTCAAAATTTCTTTTTTATGAGAGTCAGAAATATTCTACAAACTGAAAGTTCAATATTAAAATAGGAGGAAGATTATCATATAAGAAATTTCATTATTAGCCTTCTTACTATCTTCCCCAATTTAGTCTTTCTGTAAGAAACTTTGAGGAAATAAGACTCTCCATCATGATATGCAGAACAGATTACAGTATTATAAACAAATATTTTATTCTATTCGAAGCCAAATTAAATCAAAATGAAAAAATGACCAAAAAGTAAATGTTCAAATGTCTTTGCAATGAACGTGAGATTCATTATTTATTTTATCAACGAATATAGGGGTGAGCAAAAGTAGGTTTACAGTTGTAATAGAAATAAATAATACAATGATAAGAAATAATAATATAAGAATACATTCTGTTTTGTGTACTCACAGCCATAAACCCACTTTGCCCAGCCCCGTGTATAAGAAGCTCCTGCTATGTGGCAAGAACTGTCTGAGGCACTAGAGTTAAAATGGTGAACAAGCTAAATATAGTCCCTCTCTATGGAGAGGACAGGCAACAAATGAAAGAAAAATATAATTACAGATAATAAGTTGTATAAACAGGTTGTTTGAAGCATCCATCTTGTATGAAAACTGTTGTTTGAAATTTTAACCCTGCTATTTGGCCTGTGTGGATTTAACCTTCCCCAGACAAGGTCATCAGTGCTGGTGCTAGGCCTCTGGTTGAAGTCTCAAGGCCCCAATACACACTGGCTCTTTAAGAACTTGCAAAAGGGGGCCAGAAACACTCCATATTTGGGAGACAAAGAGGGTAGGATCATATAAATAGGGAAAATTCCTGCATGTCGGGGCCCAGAATTTGAGATACATTTTCCTCTGGACCCGTGCGTAATAAATGTAACTCCATCTCTCTAAGTATTGCTTTGTTCTTCTTTGGTTTTCTGTAACAGTCGCTCCATGCTCACTGTATTCCTATGATGTGATGTTGTTATGCTTGATGTTGTCCTAGAGGCCCCTTAAACTACCCTTATTTTTAAAATTTATTTTTGTTACTCTGTTTGCATACTTTCTACTACATTATCTTCCAAATTACTAATTCAACCCTCTGCTTCATCTAATCTGCTATTGATTCATTTCAGATATTGTGTTCTTCATTTCTAACTGGCTCTTTTTTATGTTTTCTACTTCACTTTTGTTTCCTATCTCTTTGTGAAGTACTCATTAAGTTCATCTACTCTTCACAAAGTTCACTGACCAATGTTTTGAACTCTGCATTTAGTAGATTACTTGCCTCCGTTTCTTTTAGTTCTTTTTCTGGGAATTTCTCCTGTTCTTTCATTTGGAGTATGTTTCTTTGTTTCCT